TAGTATACTTTAGAATTTCCTGTCATGTCTTTTTAACATATCAGTCAAGATCAGCAAGATTAGATAGAGGTTTTTTATAAGCTCAGATGTTTTTCTTGACTTCAGCCTAAAGATTCTCAATTGGATTAAGATCAGAACTTTGAGTTGGCTAAGATAATATACAAAGATTATTTTTCGCTTGAAAAATCATTGCAGTTAATTCTTTAGTTTTTACCATTTTTTTTTAGATTTTCAGAAAAGAAAAATTTATTAAAAAAAAACAAATTTGTTATTCTTTTATTTTTACAATATAAGTAAACACTTAAGTATCATATAAAAACAATTTGTTATTGTGATCATATGATTTTACTAGCATTAATTCACATTTATGAAGGTGTGCAAATACTTTTGTTCACCTTCTATATGTTACATTTTTTTGTTTTTCATTTATAATAATTAATCAATGAACTTAAAAAATTTGTTATTAAAATTCTGTTATTTATTATATATCACATAGATGATTTTAACTAAAGAGTAAGTTAGCAAAATTCTAAAAATTAATATCAATTTTATTATTTAAAATTCTAATATAATATTAAAATTATTATTTTAAATGATAGATAATAAATATATATATAATAAAATTTTTATTTTCTAATAAATATTATTATACAATTATGAAATTATACTTATTCTTACTATATATAAAATTTTGCTATTGAATTGACTTTTTTTCATGACATGCATGTAGGTTACTAGCTGATCCTAATTAAATCGTCTAATTTAATCAGTTCATCTTTTGGTTTATCATTAATTTTTTTCTGTTTTACTGATAGCAGAAACTTCAGACATTATTTTTGAATTGTTTATCAATAAAATAGTGGTTCAACTTGTGAAAATTCTGATTTTAGATGACTCTCAAACTCTTAAGGTTGATATAAAAATATATTACAATTATCTCTGTAAGATTCTTAATCCTTATTTTCAATCCTTTTAGTTCATTATCTTTTTCAGCAGGAGAATTATTACACGAATCATTCCTTTCCTAAAGTAGTAACTGATGTATTATTAATTTGTCTCTATTGTTTTGATCAAAGTAGCTGTAGTAATATTATCATTAATTTATTATATCAAATCGTTCAATTATATAATTTGATAGGATTCCATAAAATAACATCTATCATAGAAAATTCTCTTAATATTCAAAGATTAGATGATAATAACAAACAAATACAGAAATTATTACCTGAGAACAAAAAAAATCTATCTCTTTATATTACACATATGCTTAATTTGTAATATCATAAATATGCAATTTTCAGATAATTTCACTTCATCAAATTTATCTTTTGAATTTATTCATCATTTTTAACAAATTCTTCAACAATACCTTATATTCTTTATTCTTCATTTCTAACAAATCCTTCAACAGTACCTCACATTCTTTATTCTTCTGTTTTAATATTTTCATATGCTTGTATTTTTTTATTCTAACATTTCTATATACTCTTTATTCTTCTTTTCCAAAAGCTATAAGAATTGGTTAACTACATCTTTCTGAACCTTTAGATTATTGGCAAGTTCAGTTAGATCAATTAAGTTAAAACTGATTTCTTTATTATTCAAATAGCCACATGTTTATTGAAAATTTAATAAATGCTAACATAAAAGTGTTTTGTATAAATGAAAATTACATATAAATAGAATATAATTATCTGTTTTTATCTATAGAAGTCTCGCGATCTTAAATACAAAAGACGAAACTATGATTACTGACTACTTTGAAAAATTTTTTGATCAAATATCAGTAAATGGCATATAAAATCAATTTGATTAGCCGATTAATATGATTGGTTGCATATATGGTATTTTTCTGTATTTCAAAAATATCACAGAATATGATTATAAAAATAAAGGATTCTTGACATACAGTAAGGATGTATATTATTTCCAACATTTTTTAAAATGTTTATTAATAATGTATACTCTTAGTATTAGAAGTTGTACATTAATTAATATACATTAAATTTTATTTCTAAAAATAGTAAGCATATACAATGTAAAATATATAAATTATTAGTTAATTGTATATAATAATTTGCAAATATATTTTTTTTATTATAAAAATGTAAAAAAAAAGTGTAATTTAAAAGAATAATAATTAATATTATTAATGGGATACAAATTACAAAGAAATTAAGCAGACTTGTTTATTATAATTTGTAGTTGTTTTGCTTATTCCACTATTATTGGTAGTTAAGTAAATATAATATTCATTTTTTCTTAAAGAATTTTGAGGTGATGATGTTATTAGATCGATGCATTTTGAAAAGAAATCATATATTGAAAGATTATAGATAGGGATTTTGCCAATAATAAAAAGATCTGGAAGTTGTATGATGTTCTCTATAATATAATTCTGATTAATGCTCTGAATGGTTCAGTTTAGTCTGGATTATAGACCAATCTGAAACTGAACTGAACCATAAACTGGTAAAAATCTGAACTGAATCAAAAATTTCAGATCATTTGAAATGATAATTTCATTATTCTAATCAAATGATTTTCTTATCGTTTGTTTAGAACAATAAATTTGATCATTTCAATCAAACGATTCTTTTATTGTTTGTTTGAAATAATAATTTGATTGTTCTAATTGAACAATTTTCTTATCATTCATTTGAAACGATAATTTGATCATTCCAATTGAATGATTTTTTTATTATTCGTTTAGAATGATAATTTTATTGTTCTAATCAAATAATTTTCTTATCGTTCATTTAGAATGATAATTTATCGTTCTAATTAAATGATTCTTTTATTGTTCGTTTAGAATGATAATTTCATTATTCTAATTAAACAATTTTCTTATTGTTCGTTTAGAATAATAATTTCATCATTTTAATCAAACAATTTTCTTATTGTTCGTTTAGAATAATAACTTCAATTATTCCAAATGAACGATTCTTTTATCATTCTTTTGAAATGATAATTTAATTGTTCTAATTGAATGATTCTTTTATTGTTCTTTTAAAATGATAATTTAATCATTCTAATTGAATAATTTTTTTATCGTTCGTTTAGAATGATAACTTCTATCATTCTAAATAAATAATTCTTTTATTATTCGTTTGAAATGATAACTTTAATTATTTCAAAAGAATGATAAATTTAATTGTTCTAAATGATCTGAAATTTTGGATTAATCTGAAAATTTCAGTTCAGTTTAGATTTTTTTCAGTTCAGATTAGATTTATAATCTGAAAAAAATCTAAACTGAACCAAAAATTTTCAGATTAAATTTTTTGCAATTTGAAACTGAACCAAAGTTGATCTGAACTGAAAATTTTCAGATTAATCTAAACTGTTCAGAGCTTTAATTCTGATACTTATAAAAATATTTTTGTGCCATCAATGCTATATATAAAAAAGTCAATCATAGTCACATTCCGCTAACAAACATAAAATATTCCCAGATTAAACATTAGTAAAGTCTAAGGGATTTCTTTATGAACTACAATATCTTTGACAACTACTGTTATTTTTTTTGATTCAGACTTTGTTGTAAAATCTATGCATGTAAAATTACAAGGGTTATACTTCTTATTGCTATTTTAAAGCTGTATTATACATAGAGCTCTATTATACGTCATTTTATAACCTTAACATCTTTCATTATCTTTAAAACTTCTTTTGCATAAAAATTATCAAAAGCTGTCAGAATTGAATATTCTGCTGCTAGGCAGCACAATTTAAAATAAAAACTAACTTGAATTACCATTTCAGAATTGATCTAAGATTCAGGAACTATACTTAATTTGTATTTCATAAAAACCTTTGCAACAAATATAACACTATCATTGAATTCATTACCCAACCTTTCCCTATCCAAAAGTCTTTTTATTCTTATTGTATAATATTTACTTGCCTTCTCAAAATACTTAAATTTCATAAAATCTATTCCTTCAGATTTATATTCAGACCAACATTTAGAGAAATGCATAAATTCCTATGTTAGCCTATCTACAAATTCCTGTAAAAATTCAATGTTATCAGGTAATTTGTCATAAAGGTGATTGATAATTTTACTCCATTCAACATTATCATATGGCTGAATAGTTTCATAAAACATTGCATTCCTATCATCGGCTGCCTTGTTACCATGAAATAAAGATGTAAAAGCATATAGAGTAGCTTTCTGTAATACATTGAAATTATTCCAATCAGAAAATATACTAGCAATAAGATTTTGTTCAGGTTGTACAATCTGTGATAGTTGGTTTTTTTTCAAGACCAATTTATGTTTTACAAAAATGAATTATATTAGTCTATACATATAATAATGGAAACATGTATAATAAAAAGAAGACCCTCAATTAATTTAGTAAAGGCTTACCAATTATATCATTAGCTGCTTCCAATATAACATCATATAATGATGAAATGGAGTTTGTTGAAGATAATGAAATTTTCATTAATAGATCAATATTTTTGGTATACAAAAGCTACCATTTCATACACACATTAACTTTATTATTGATCCAAGCTGTACACCAGTGAAATATTCAGCACTTATATACATGACTAGGCATCCAGCAGCACAAGTAGCATAGCAATAGTATACAGTGTTATTATCTTTTCAATTCTACAACTCCCTTCAAAATGTGTTTCATTGATACGTTTCCATTTTTAGCTTATTTAAGGATAACATTATGATACAACTAGTCAATTAATTTCTTAACCTTATTATGAATGAAAATTTTTTTATTAAAATTAAATAGCTCTCCAAGTACAGCTTCATAGAATATATAATCTATTATAATGAATTGCTTATAGAGATGCTTTCATAAAATGAAATATCAAGTGATAAATCTGTATATTTACAGGTAAAAAAAAACTTTATGAACAAAATGAATAAAGAACAAAAAATATATTATTCAAACTTAGGATTGACTATAACTCTTGCTCTTTTCAATATGATATCTCTTGATACTTTCATATATATATAAAATGAATATTGGGCAGTAATTTTAAAATCAGCAAATAAATATATATGCTATTTATAGATATTTGTTTTTCATTAATATCTCAAACAATACATAAAAATGTTAAAATAAAATCATAAATAAAAAAATACAAGTTAATCAACATTGTATACATTCACATAATCTAATAACGTTATACCAAATCTTCACAAATTGATAAATAAATAAATGAAATGAAAAATAATTTTTGCATGTAGGTTCATTTTACCTTTTTTTTCTGTTGAGTTCCTTTCTTAACAACTCACTTCATTTTCTTACTTCTACTTTTTATTCTTTTCTTCTCTCTCTAATTATTCTTCTTTTCATTCTAAATTTTGTCATTTACTAAGGTAATTTTCTTTTGCATCTCTTCTCAATGTTTCTAATTTCTCCTCTAGTTTCTCCAATTTTTCTTCAGCTTTATTCACCTATTTCTCTGTCTTCACTATCTCTTCCATTAAAGTCATTTTTTAAAATTATTTTTTTTATTTTATTGATACTTCTAATTAGAGATCAAAAGCTCTTAACCAACATTAAACTTGCTGAATTATTTAAAAAATTTTCTTTATCACAGTCAGAAAAAGAAACTAAACAAGAACTAAATTGAAATCTTATTCTTAATTACGCTACTTAGATTTATTCTGATATCAAATTAGCAAATTTTTATCTCAATAATGGGAAAAATTCCAATTTTATTTTGATGAAAAATTATCAATTATAGTAAAAAACATTTAATAATTCCATCACGATAAGGTCAATAAATCTGCAATAATGATAAGTTAGTTGTTACGTATCAGAATAAATTATTAAAATTCATAAAAATTCGTTTTATTCTATTACAGTTAGGGGTTTTATCAAATTTGGATATTGATTCTAAAATGATTTACAATAAATCCCCAAATTTTGATTGACTCTTATCTATTCACTTTAGCTGAAGATTTATAACTTTTCATAATATTTTTCCATGACTAATAATCATATTATAAAAAGTAAAAGATCTTTAATTTCATAATCATTCAAGATCTCCTCATAATTAACTTTTTTTGAAAAAGTAAATGATACCATAAAATATGAGAATTTTACATTTGAATTTGGTTAAACTTATTAATTTTTTCTTTATAATTTTAGCCTTTAGAATTCGAAAAGAAATGTCATAACCTTCACTAGTTAAAAAGAAGCCAAGAGCCAAAGATTTTCCTTGCATACTTGCTGATTTAGTTAGTAAATATAGTAAATTGGGATTGAAATTATGTAAAATAAAAGCATCACAAGTCTGACGACACACTAATAGTAAAGAGGCAGCTAAGCAACTTGCATTATATCATATTTTTATATCTGAACTTGATCTCCATACTTCCCTGAACTCTTACTCAATTTGTAAAAAATATTATAATCAACTTATATCTATTAATCATTTTCATAAACAGCTTTTAGATGATCCTACGCTTGCTCATACAAACAAAAAATTTGAATTAATACTATACGTACTAATAATGATGATAATTCTATTTTTACTCTCAACTCTAGTACTCATGAAAGGATAATTCCTAATGACAAGCCATATCTATTATCAGAGTTTGAAAAAAATGAGAAATTATTAGAAGAAAGTCAAATAGATCACAATATTTTAGAATTATAACAGCTAATAGAAAATTAAAGACAAAAGATATCAGAGTTAAAAAAGTGATTGTATAAATATTACAAAGAGATAGTTTAAATAAAAGACTTATACTAAAAATAATGTGAAGTGAATGAGAAGCTCGTTAAACAATAAAATTCTCAGTATAATGATCAGGGTAAACACATACAAGCAGTTATTAATATCGTGTTAATTGAACGAGAATTTTTGTATAAAGATATTGAATTTCTGATCAGAAATAATGATAGATTTTCTTTAGAAAATCTATTAAGCTATAATTTACAAATATGGCTAAGTAAACAAAATCAAGTTATTGTGAAATTTATTGAAATGCTAACTTATAATAATCTTATTACAGATTCTTTGGATGTTGAGAAACTTTACAAAAGAGCCATAGCTGTTGATTTAATATATGGGTCTAGACATGGAAAATATGTGTTAAAAATAAATCTTGTGACGTTAGCTATAAACTATTCCATCACACAATTGAAAACTATTATTAATATTGATAGTCATTTCACAAGTTTGAGAAGTTACTCTCATTTTCAAAGTTAGTTAGAAGAACTTTCTAAAAGAGAAGAACCTCTACCTAAAGGACTTCTATTTTTAGTGTTTAATAATGAAAAAGAGGACAATGAAATTATCTTAATCGAGGATTTAATACAGTGATATTTCATATTATTACTAGTTTTGTTACTTTTAATATAATAGAACTGTAAAATAACATTTAACATACTAATAACCTTTGAATATCTAGCTCTCTTAGCAGGTTACAATATGAAAGTTTTTTTGTCATCACACCTAAAATGCAAGACATAATAGATAAAGAATTACATGCTTATATATCCAAAATCCTTAATTTATTATATGAAGAAAAAGTATCTACAACTAATATTATTGATTCTCTTGTGACTAATATAGGATCGAATGATCATCATAACAAATATTGTCTTAGTTGTAAAGAACAAAATATTAATAATCAAAAGCAAATTTGTTCAAATTATAAAGCATATCTATTCACATTAGCAGAATTGCCAAAACAACCTACTCTTGAATTAGAAAAAATTATAACCGACTAATCAATAATCTATAAACCTTATACTGTTGAAAAAAAAATTAAGCAATCTACTGCACCAAGAATCAGTATTACTTAGAAACAATCCATTGATCAAGGTATTAATATTCTAGAAATTTTTGTTTCTAATCCTTTTAATACTAATCCTAATTCAATAGTAAATATTGAGAAGATTCTTCTATATATTGAGAAAATAACAGGAATTAAAGATGGAATACGCCAATGGGTAGCTGTAACATGTAATAGTATTCTGTACCATCATATAATTAAGATAAAAGAGAAATATCCATGGTTGGTTCTTATTCCTAAACAATTGCATGAAGAGATGAATATGCTTCGTACATATATAGAATTAAATTAGTAAACTTATTTTATTTTATGTTTGAACACTTTATTCTTATACTTATATAACTTTTCTAATCATTAAAAAGGAATGTTGATCTAAACAATTTGCAATATGCTAAGAATATAAAACTGAAAATCAACTCTCTTATTTCAAGAAATGATACAATCATCATAAATCTTAGGATTTGATCTATAATATTTATCGTCAAGCAATAGCTATGGAGTTGATTTGGTCATATGTTAAGAATTATACTAACCTATCAGTAGAAGGATACTTAGCCTAGATAAAAGAACAAAAAGATCCACTTTATCAAATAAAATTTGAACAGGTAAGTTATTAAATTTATTTGAGCATTTATTAGATTTATTACTAAACTATAATTGAATATATAAATAGATATTTGTTTATTTACAAGCTATAATTAATTATAGAGCAGCTATCAGGAGAAATAATCAATTACTAAAGAGAGTTACAAAAGAGTTTTTTCACCAGTATGGTCAGTACAGTGTCATTCAATATACTGTCTGATCGAAGTTGCAGATGAAATACAACTGATGCAACTTAATCCAATTATACAGGATCTTATAGAAAAAAATTGTGTAGTTTTTCAGTTAGGACTTTTTAATCAACATCAAGGGTTAGATGCAGTTTTAGAAGAAATAAATAAGACCTTAAAAACTTTGATACCTCCTATTTTACAAATGCTTCATTAGAAAATTATCGCACAAAATTGTAAAAAATTCTTTCAGATATTATTTAAAATTTATTAAAATTTATTGTTTATAACTAATACATATAATAAAAAATTTAGCTGCAGAACAATTTTTTCAAATTGATTGGATATAATAACTCTCAAACAGTTAGTTCAAGAGTTCATTCAGAACTAATTATAGAATGTTAATGATTCTGAGCTTGTTTAAGAAAAGATAATTTTGTTAATCCAATGGATTTAAGAACTATCTATAAAAACTTAGGAGAAGAATATGAATTAAGTTAACAGTTATCATATTTTACTGATTTAGCAAAGCAAGCTCGACAAAAATATATTATTGAAGTTTTTTATAATAAAAATTCAGTTTCTTTATATAGGTCAATTCCAATTACCAAACAAGAAGAAATTGCTCAAAATGAAGAAAAAAACTTAACTAAAGTAGAAATCATTTACAAAATTGAAATCTTTTTTGAACAAACGAGTGAAACTATTCGAAAAAAGTATTGTGAAATAAAATCTAAAATGCGTAATAAATTAATAGTCATATTAGAAGAGGTAAGGTCCTTATTTAATTCAGATAATAAATCTGATAACTAATGGTTTTGCAATTTTAGAATTTATACATTTTAATTGTTTTGCACATATATAAACATTTTAAATTTAATAAAATAATGTAAAAAAATAATTTACTTTTGCAAATTTTACTTTAAATTTAAATCTCACTTTATATTTGATACAATTGCAAATACATTTGAGCATTTTGGAGTTGTATTTTCTAAACCAAGATAGACTATAAACATTTTATTGATAACTATAGCTGACATTAAAAAAAAAAAGCAAAAAATACAGTTTTTTTTTTTCTTGTTATTTTATCACATAATAATTATTAAGTTCTAGAAGCGTCTAGAACCTTCTGATCAGCATTTCTATACCATAAAAGGAATGATCGACGCTGTCCATTTTTGGTAAAATCCCTGATTGCATTATAAGGCAAAAGTTCCATTTTATTCATTAATTAAAAATGGAATAATTCCGGATCTCTGCTTCTAATATTGATTCTATCATGTAACTCGAGATAAATTTAAATATCGGGTAATGATTTGATAATGAATAAGTTGTCATGTAAAATTACGTCATAATTAATTAATAACTAGGGAAACGATTGTTAAGCGCGGTAAAATCACTAATGGCTAGAAGGTATCTTGTCCATTGCCAAAGTATTGCGTTATGATGTCCTGGCTAATCTACGTTACATCTGTAACTTCACTTCTACTCTGAGGACGATAACCAAATTTTATAAGTTAGGATATTCATGTATAATTAATTTATGGCTATCCGAAACTCACAGATCGTTGTATAATATCATTTCGAATCTTACGAATATCGTGTTCTGAAATTGATCAAATGGACATGACACATTTGAAATGAAATTTATGGATTTTGAATAAGGTTTTCGAGTTGTGACCATTTATTAGTAAAATATATCAAGTACAAAGTTCTTTGTATTCCTTATATAAAGCATCGATTTCATTTAATACTTTAAAGAGTTGTTCCTTAGCTTTATGCAAGTTTGGCTAAAAAAAAAAGAATAAGCTTTAAAATAAAAATTTTAAATTAATTTGATATTTAAAAGAAATTACCTGCAATATATGTACACCATATTGAGTAGCTACAATAAGTTCTTCAACACCATCTTCATTCAAATCCAAGCCAGAAATTCGATAAATAGGGTGTGTAAAAGACCTCTGCCATATCAATTGAAACGTAATCATGCCTTGGGAATTAATATCTAAATAAAAGATGATAAATTCTTATCATAAATAAACCTATTTATTCTATTTATTATATTTAAATCACAAACTCTCATCAAATCTCACCTTGTTTGTATACAAGTAATTCTCTACCATAAGTTCCAATAAGAATTTCATTTTGACCATCCCAATCTATATCCATTATGTGAGAACACAGAACGCTATCATGTTGTGAACATTCTCTCAAATAAAACGGATAATTTAAAATTTTTTTATCTACATAACTTTAAATTGGATGAAGTTGAGGAATAGCAGTAACGAAAAAAAAAAAAAAAAAAAAAAAAAAAAAAACTATTATCCTACCAATAAATAATTGCTTGTTCTACAGCACAAGTAACAAGCATATGAATTTCTTCTTGTTCACCTAAATTTTGTTAAATTATTTAATATTATCATTTTGTTTATTAAAGATCTTCAAAAGAATATTAATTACAAACCTTTGCTTGTAGATGATTTGAAAATAGAAATTGATGTGATAGGACTAAACAGTGCAACTGATGATTGTTCTTGTTCTTTAAAAATATAAAAATTTTCAGTTATAATGGTTGTAATAATTATGATCAGTATAAATGAAAACACGTTATTCCGCTTACCAAAATCACCCACAGACTCACTTCGCTTGGAGATAGATACATGCAGCATACCATTTTGACATCCCGCTGCTATAATTTTGATGTTTTGAAATTCTTTAATCTCTAAAGATAATATACTACAAATTAAAAATATAAACGTGAAGTTTAATAACGTGACAAAATAACTTTTATTGAATTAAAACTTTTGATGAAATGGAGAAGAAATGATTACGTTGAATTTGATTCAGCCAATCCAGCAAGAAATGGCAAGTAAGAACGTACAGGTATTTCTTCCCATTTTTTAGTGCATGTATCCTTTTTTTTTTTTAAAAAAAAAAAAAAAAAATTCGTTTCAATAAAATAAATAAGTCGTTTCTGACGAAAAAATACTAGTTTTCGAACTTACTTCTAAATATAAATGTACACCTCCATCAGTTCCACATAAAATTAAAGCAGTACAATCTTCATCCCCTTTATTTATTGTGGTGTGTGCAAGCTGCGTTGGAGTGAAATTAAATCTAATGCTTTGACAATTCCCTAAATAAATTATTCAAAAGATGCAAAAAAGAAAAAGTTAATAATTATTAAATATCTCTCAAAGAAGTCACTCCAAATAATTTACATTACCAATAATCTTGAAGATAGCGTCTTCCATAAACGTCAATGAATTTTCATTCAAAGAAAAAATTCGAAGAGAAAATTGGCTTTGAGAATCATCATCTGGAATAATCCTTTGACCAGACTATAATTACAAAAAGGAAATCTTGATCATTAATTAAGAAAAAAAAAGGGAAATTTAAAAGTTTTACTTACATGAGCTGTTGTCAAGGCAAAGACTAAATCAGAATTGATGGAAGAAAATACGTCCATCGAAACGATTTCTCCTATTACAACACAAGAAAATTTAATTAAATGAAGTATAATAAAATGAAAATTTTTTCTTAAATTTTTAAAATACCAATATCTTTATCAAGCGGTAAATCGATCGTATTCCAATACCCTGGCGCCGAAACAAAACATGTAACTCCATAAAAAGAACTTACGAATAAATGTTGATGAATTCCTACATTATAAATATCGTAATTGAATGAGAAAAGATCCATATATTAAACTAGTTCAGACAACTTACTTTCTTTATTTTCACGATTTCTCAAATGATTTGTAAGAATTTCAAGGGACAAACATTTAGACGTGTTTGATGGAAATTCTCGATCATAAGGTAAACCACTTCCTAAATGTGAGGTAAATATGGATAACCCATAAATATTTCTAAGATAATTTTTGTTACAATAGTTAATTATTTAACTGGAAAAACTAATTAAATGAATTTCGAAACGCAAACACTTACGTCCTACCTCCCGAAGAAAAACGAGAGAAATGACTTTCATAGAAATATTCAGTTTCCATAAGAAAATAATTCTTTTATAAATATCTTTTTTATATATAATAAATTAGAATAAGAATTTGTCATAATTATTTAATTGATATGGTAAAACGTGATGATAAATTTTAACGGAAAAAATTTTTATTTGATGGTAAAAAACATTTATAAAAAAGAAAGAAAAAAAAAAATTTAATTTAAAAGTTGTCCGATACTTACCATCTATATATATAACTTGTACTTTACTGTACATCAATTATTTTGTCCTCAACCGTAATGACAGACGGTTGACTGTTACGCGACCCAATAAAAAACACTACAGCTTAGAAATGAATACTTTCGATTGTATCCTAGCTACGAAGCGAGTTCCAGGTATTATGTGTAATACACTTTTGTCAGGGCTTCATTTTCGAGTGACATAAAGAAATACTTTGTGAGTATTTTAATCAGTCCATCAAAATGAATTAATCTTTTTAAGATGACCAATTTGTAAAAATTTGTAATGAAAAAAAAAAAAAAAAAAAAAAAATCAAAAAAATTTCGATTATCTGATCACGAAAGAATCGTAAAATCTCGGATGCGCAAGAATAAACAGAGATTTGAGTTACATAAATTATACTAAATTGATGCTAAGGTAAACAACAGATGTGATGTATCTTTCCGGCAATTCAAAGATGGTATGGATAATCTTTTCGTCCTCGAGACTAAATTATTTATGGCAAGTACCGTTATTATTATAAATATGTCATTATGTCGCTTATTTTTTTTGTGTAAAAACAAAAAAGAATGGCAGGTATTATATCAAAATCAAATGCATTTCTTGTTAGTTATAAATTTCATCAGCATCGAAAAGGTGCGCTTTATAATTTTGTGACGAGAATTGGACCTGCAGCATCAAATCGACGTTTTTGTATGTATGAAATGATTTCAATTATTAATTTTTTTTTTGGAGTTGATTTTCAAGGAAAATTTGAGGCGCAGCAAGTTAAACATATTATTCCAAAATAATTTTTGTTTTTTTTTACACCAGATTCTCAAGATAAACGTATTGTGGTTAAAAATCCGGTCGTTGACTTAGATGGAGATGAAATGACTCGAATTATTTGGGACAAGATTAAAACTAATGTAAATTACAAAAAAATCAATTTTTTTTTTATTTAAAAAAGATCATTTTGATAACAAAAATCAATGCGCAGTTAATCTTCCCGTATCTCAAAATCGACATCAAATATTATGACTTGGGAGTTGAAAATCGAGATGCTGTAAGTTCAAATCAGATTTGAAATCAGACAAAGATGTGCGTGTTTTGTAATCAACATTACTTTTGTTTAAAGACAAACGATCAAGTTACCATTGATGCAGCCGAAGCGATCAAAAAATATAATGTGGGCATCAAGTGTGCGACAATTACACCGGATGAGGCGAGAGTCAAAGGTAAGAAGCTAATTTATTCATAAAAAATTTTTTTTAACTTTTGGATTGTTAATGACATACTTTGAAATTTGAATCGAATTACAAGAGTTCAATTTAAAAGAAATGTGGAGATCTCCAAATGGTACTATTCGTAATATTTTGAATGGTGTCGTATTTAGGTAATTTGATTTAATAAATCGGTCATTAATTGCTTCTCCTGTGCCAATAACCAACATGTTTTTTTTTTCAAATAGAGAACCTATTTTATTGAACAGTGTCCCGCGTATAATTCCGAATTGGACCAAACCTATTGTTATTGGTAGACACGCTTTTGGTGACCAGGTAAGTCTTGAAAGTTTTTGTTTTAATTGAATCAAAAAATAATATGATAATGTATTTTATTAGTATAAAGCCACTGAAATGATTATAGATTGTCCTGGCAAAGTTGTTCTAACATTCGTCCCAGAAAACCATGATAATTCAAAATTACAGGAAAAAGAAGTGTTTACTTTTCAGGTAATTACTTTACAAATCATCTTCTTAAAAGAATAAAGTAAAATAACCCGTTATCAAATTTCTTAATTTTAGTCTCCCGGTGTTGTCATGTCTATGTACAATACAGATGAGGTAATGTTTACGAGTTTTAAAAAGTTCGAGAATTCTCACTTATATAAAATTTTTTTAGTCTATTAGAGGTTTTGCTCATAGCAGCTTTCAAATGGCATTGAGCAAAGAAATGCCTTTGGTAATCAATTTTTTTATTTATTTTTTTTTTTTTCAAAAAAAAAAAAAAAAAATGGAAATATTTATTTATAAGTTTCGTCAACTTATTTTAGTATCTTAGCACCAAAAATACCATCTTGAAGAAATACGATGGTCGCTTCAAAGATATTTTTCAAGAAATATTTGACAAGTAATAAATACAGATTTCAATTATTTTTTATTTAAAAGAGCTAAATTTTATATCAATTAATATCTTAAGGGATTACAAAGATAAATTTGATGCCAAGAAAATTTGGTATGAACACAGACTTATAGATGATATGGTTGCTCAAGTCATTAAATCTAGTGGTGGATTTGTTTGGGCTTGTAAAAACTATGATGGGTATATTTTTTTTATAGATATTTATTTTTTTAAGATATATATATTTTTTTTCCCAATAATTAAATTTTCATTTTCATCTTTTTTTTTTTATTTTCTTATTAGAGATGTCCAAGTAAGTTTTTGATCCTATTTGGTATCGATATAGAGTGAAAGTCAATAAGAACTAAATTATTTACTACAATTTTACGATAAGTCTGATATTTTAGCTCAAGGTAACAAACAAAGTACTACTATTTGCTTTTTAATTACGATCGATAACTTATTTAATTTTATTATAGGATATGGTTCTTTGGGATTAATGACGAGTGTCCTTGTTACTCCGGATGGAAAAACAATGGAAGCAGAAGCAGCACATGGTAAAGAAATTACTTTGCAATTTCAATTTAATTATTTTGTATTTAAATATACTAATTTTTTTTTTTTTTAGGAACTGTAACAAGACATTATCGTCAACATCAACAAGTAAGAAATCATTTACCGTTAATCAGCTCTTTTTTAATTTTTTTGTTAATTATTTTTTTTTATCACAAATTTCATAGGGCAAAGAAACTTCAACGAATCCAATAGCATCAATCTTTGCGTGGACAAGAGGTTTAGCACATAGGGCAAGATTAGATGGAAATGAAAAGTTAGAAAAGTTTTCTCATGATCTTGAAAAAGTTTGTACTGATACAGTTGACAAGAATGGTAAAATGACCAAAGATCTCGCATTATCGGTTCATGGCGAAAAGTAAGTTTTTTTTCTCTAAAAAAAAAAAAAGAAAAGAAAAAAAAAATTCCAAGATTGATTTATTTTTTTCCATATATAGTTTGAAGAGAGAACATTATGTTACTACAGACGAATTTTTGGATCACGTTACAAATAATTTGAAGAAAATTTACGGGAATTAAAATAAATAAAATCATTAATTTATTGTATTATTTATTAAATTATTATTATATAATGCTGTTGAAATTGAATTGAATTTTTCAAGCATAGACAAGTTTATTAGATCATCCAATAATTATTTTAACTTTTATGATGAGTCATCAAAATTAGATATGTAATATAAGCTTAACGTTAATAAATAATGACTAATCAGTTGCGTTAGTTGCGTTTGACATTTTTTTTTTTTTTTTTACAGATAAATAAATTATCAAACATTTTACAAGTTTTACAAGGCATTTTCCTTCCTTTCAAATTGTTTTAAAAGAGAAAAAAAAAAAAAATAATAAAAATAATAATAATAAAACGCGTCAGCTTTCTAATTATAATCAGAATAATTGTCAATGTTTGCTACGATACAAACACCAATATCTCGAACGTCATCTCCAGTTTCAACCTCAACAATAATTTCTGAAGATTCAACCCTAGATTCGGATTGCTCCTCTCTTGATTTCGATCATACATTTGAGGATCCTGTTGTCACAACCAATACTTCCGAACAAGATTTTGTACCTTCATTAATGCAATTCGATGAAGAATTGAATACGATTATGATTGACAATGAAATACTAGAGCCAAAAGCTGGGGAAGATACAATTAACGTAGATCGAAATGTCAAAGAAATGAACCAGGTTTCAAATACTGCAACTTCTCTTTATGAAGAAGAAGCAGGAAGTCGAAATCATTCTCAACTAGATCATATCAATATAATCAATGGAATTCCTGAGATGGTTGAGGACAATAATAATTCAGAAGCGATAGCAACGCTTGACGAAATTCAGCAGTCTTCAGTTAATGACGATCGAGAAAATGTTCATAAAATTATCATCACTTTATCACAAGCGAAACGAATTGCAAATACGTCAATTGATTCTGACGAACGAGCAGACGTACTTGAAAATGCATTAGTCAGCGATAATGAAACTACTTCAAATCTTATACACCCACAAAATGGTGAAAGTGATAATTCACCGGTTCCCAACCTTGATATGTCATTAATCCCTGTCAATCAGAGTAGAACCGATAACTTTTCAGCGTTTTCTACTGGAATTAGTCCGAATATTAACATTTCTTCGCCTGTTGAAGTTAAAAACAATACTCTTGCCAACGATTTAAACGAAGAAAAATTGATTTCGAATATTGATTCAGCCTTGTCTGATAACTTTAGCAAAATTTGCGACCATGGCAATTTCAGAACTATTCAAAAAGCGCCAAGGAAGAGGTCACTTAAAAACGAAAATAGTAATAATACTTGTACACTTCCTAGTCTTTCCGATAATGACATTATCAATAACATGGAAAAGGTTGAAATTCATCAAATTGATCATAAGTCCAGTTCTGAATTACTTCCTATCGATAGCGAATTTAGATTGAACAACGACAAAGTTGATCATAATAACGAAGAATGTATTGATGAAATGAAATTGAAAGAAGAATCCGTAAGTTTTTTTGTATTTAGGAAATTGGCGGTTTTTCTATTAAAGTCACGTTACGGTTCATAATGATCTACGATGTCTCGTGACTCGATTTTTTTTAACGTTGACTTGTGTTTAGATTAGGAACGCGTATAGCGGAATCACTATCGCTCTCAAGCATCAGTTAATGTTGTATAATAATCTCCGTGAAATCATCCCAGAATACGTTCGAAGACCGGTAGAAAGTAGTATTGGTATTATTAGATTTAGTATAGAGCCACCAGATCTTATGCAAGATGTAATTACCGCTCAAGAACAAAAAGGTGTTTTTCCATCATCTACAAGTCCTATTGAAGGAAATAATGATAAAGGTAATTTGGTTAAGGAAGAATTTGTGTCATCATCACAGAAACCAAAAGATATAATAAGTTCACGTGCAAAGAAATGGCATGAACTTCCAGATGATACAAAGGAAGTAAGTTTTTAATCCAAGTTTCATGTTTCATTTATTTGAAAATGGGCAAGACCTTTTTTTTTTATTTATTTCAAATTGCGCAGTATTATCAAAGGAAAGCAAAACGTCTACGACACAAATACTCTCAAAACCAATCGGGAAGTCAACTCGTAAAACCTGGAAAAGACGAAAGTGAACTTTTAACTGTTGCTATTCCGAAATTTTCTCTGAGGCCAGTTATTCCAATTGTGACGATGACACCATCTCAATATATGGATTTTGCCCAACATAAAAATTAAAATTCACTTCAAATGTAGGAAAGATAGATCCGGTATGAATTAATATGTAGTATCGTTGATGAAGAATAATTTGTTAATTGCTTATTTGGTTTAATAATTGAAAGTCATTGCTGTCACGTGATTCATGTACAAGATTAATATTGATAAATCAAAAAATTTTGTATCGACTTTGTTGCCTGAGAATTTCATTAACCTGTAGCCTGTTGAGCCGGTGGAAACCAATTTTCATATGAGTTTGTTCGAATATCTTTCCAAAAAAAATCGAATATTCGGAATCTAACTGATTAATAAAACAACTTTCTAAAAAAGAAGTGATCGGCGATTGGCTTAAATGAAAAATTTGTTCTCACAAGTAACCGCATTGCATGGTAGCTTCCCAACCTGATAAAATAATTCCAACTTTAAAATAAAATCTTAAGACGCGACATTACAACAATTTGCTGCAATTATCTCATCAACGTCCTTATTATCTACTCTTAGAAGCGAAAAGAATCTTTGATTATCAAAATCGATTTGCAATCTGGTTAATCTTGTAATTGTTTCTACATTTGGAGGTTTCCTTTTTCGCGTTAATTAACCTGATATTTCATTATTCTATAAGGTATGAAATTTTTCATATAGAATGATTTTCATGGTTCAAAACTTGGTTATCATGCTAATTGGTACTTTGTGTGTAGCAGCTGACCTCATTAACCAAGAATAAACTAACATTTTGATAACACTTTCAAAATTAAAAGTAATATCTGCAATTACGCCTAAAACGTTATTTTCGGAGTTACATTAGAGAAATATAATTAATATTGAAATTGGTAATGATAATAGCATAAACCCAATCGGCTGTGCGAAAGTTCACTTTTGTCAATTAGTACAAATAAAATTTTCTTAATGTAACACACTCCAAATAAAACAGGCATATAAGAAACCAGTACTGACTTTTCCTTTCAAATGTTCAACCGGACAACCTTTTGTAAAAAGGAGAATCAAGAAACTTTTTTTATACCTTTTTCTTTTTCTTACCATTTTTTTCTAACGACTTTCAAATGGTTTCCTCATTAATCATATTGGGTTCGCTTTCGTTCGTAGTTCTTTCATTTCTTATAAATCGTATTTATAAACCTATAGGATATACATCCATACCAGGTCCTGCCCTTCGTTTGAGTACTCGTTTGCTGATGTTTATTCAGCTTCATTTCTTGCAAACTCTACCAGAATTCACGGAATTTTGGTGTAAACTTTATGGAGACACCATCGGTGTCTGGGTAAATGGTGGTTACACCATTGTATCTTGTGATGCCGATTTTGTTCAGAAGATTCTTGCCGGCACTCATGCCAGCAATTTTATCGCACGAACGGGCAATGACGATGGTTTGAAAGCAATAGGGATGTATCAAAAAGGAATCATTTGGAATAATGATGTCCCAAAGTGGACCCTTCAAAGGCGCAT